AACTATTTGGTTATTTTGATTGCTTTTGTAAGTTATGTGTACTGTGTGTAAGTATGTACTTGTATATGTACTTTTATTTTTCTTTTTTCTTACAGTACCGCATGATTTATGATGATTTATATTGAAACAATTATAATTTATTTTTATTATTTATAATTTCATTTTTTTTTTCATTTTTTAGCCATTACTGTCCCACTGCAGGGTAAAGGCCTCCCTCCCCTTTTTCCACTCTTCGCGATTTAACGCCGCTACAGACCAAGACCTCAAATACGCGTCCAATTAATCACGACATCTCTCTGGACATGTTCTGGGTCTTCCACGGCTTCGTCTTGTGTTTGATGGGATCCACTCCCTAGTGGTCTTTGCCCACAGCTCGTTTGCAATGTGGTAGACGTGTCCGGCCCAGTTTCATAATATAATTTATTACATTATTATTTAATATACAATAGGACAAGGAAATCAATTTGAATAAACTTCGTTACATAATCTATCGATAAAATAGGAGCTAAAAAACATGTTCGCTTCTCTATAACGAAAAAACAGCGTTTATGAAGTATTGCATTTTTTTTGGTCTGTGGTTGCCTGTCAATAATTAAGGGACTTCATAGGCGTGCTTATGTCAAATGTTCGAATGTTTTCAAATATTTTCTATCTAATCGATAAATTTAACCATTGTGACAAAAATGTGTTAAAATAGAAAACTAGTAATTAATGTAAAAAATAGACGTATACATGGAATGTAATTCCATCCTTGGCTTGACTGGATGTAGCAAAGATTTTCTTGCAAGTTTGCATGTCGCAAGGCGACACCGAGTCAAGAGTCAAGTGAATTCGATAATGCAAATGAAAAAACATCGATTTGAAAGTAGTGTTTATTGTGCGATAGTCGTTTTGTGCTTGTATACAGGGCGTCCCAAAGTTATGGGCCATGAAGGGGAAGTACCTTAAATATCGTAGATAGAGTATTTTGCTGAAAGAAGACTTTATGTTATTTTTAAAAGTTAGTAATTCTGCATTCATAGACTTAAAAAAAAATATTTGCTTCGTCTGGGAATCGAACCGACTTAAATGTCAAAAAAAAAGCACCCTACTTTTATGATACCAATCGAAAGAATAGCTAAAAAATAATAACTCTGCTTAAGTAACATAGTATTTTAAATGAAAGGAACAACGTGAAATTAATTATTTTAATCAAATTAAAAACATACATGAAACTGCCGTACCTAGTCAATTAAGTGGGTATTTTTTGTAAATTAATTAATTAAATGCTCAAAATGTGATCCCTCTTGTCTTACGCAAATCGCCAATCTTTTAATGAGTTCGCTGCCTGTTGATCTTCTTATCATTTTATGGTGAACACTCGATGTGATATGGATCAATTCTGTTTGCAACTCGCCCAGGTTCTCGTATCGCTTTTTGTATAGCATTATCTTTTACGTATCCCCAAAAGAAGAAATCTAATGGTGTAAGGTCCGGGGATCTGGCCGGCCATCTAATAGGTCCATTTGTACCAATCCATATAGCAAAACTTTCACTTAGAAAATCTGCAGCTCTCCTGTTGGAAAATTAAGTTTTCTTGCTCCGCCGCGGAAAGATTTCTTATCTCATCCATTAAAATTTGAAGTATTCCTAAATACTTTTCTGTGTTCAAGGTTCCTTGGTAAAAATGGACTAAGAAAACCCGGTTTTTTAAAAGTCCGCACCAACAATTGAGTGAAAAACGCACTTGGTTATTCGTTTCAGTGACTCGTAGGGGATTTTCTTTAGACCAAATACGATTATTGTTGCGGTTATACATACCGTTATTGCTAAAGTTAGATTCATCTGTCCAAATAATATTATCCAAAAAATTTGGATCTTCGAGCAAGCGTGCCTGGATATCAAGACAGAAATTTTTTCTCCTTTCTGTATCGCCCGGAAGTAATTTTTGAACCAATCGTCCTTCAACATAACTCTTAAAACCGTGTTTTTTTAATACACGGTGTATTTTACTTTTCGAAATTCCAATTTCAAGTTCTCCTTCTCTCACTGATCTTTTCGGAAAAGCCGAAAAGTAAATTAAAATATCAAGTTCTTCGTCGTTGATCATGTGGTTATCTTGCTGTGGTTCTCTTGGGCGTTTATCGAAACGTCCAAGAATTTTCAAATTGTTCACAAGCCTTTTCAAAACTTTACGAGACGGTATTTGTCTATCAGGATATTTTACGCTATACCGCCGCAAACTTCTAGAGATATCTTTATCGTTCAAAAAATATGCTTCCATTAGATCAAAACTTACTTGATATGCCATGTTCGCAATAAATTAACACGATAACACTTGTGTAAGTAAATTAAGACTAAACAGATCAATATCCAAAATACAAACGCTCGCACACACTGTTCCATTTTCAAATTTGAGAACAACATTTAAAAATATTAGTTCTTTTTAAAATGTTTTAAAAAGTATTCATTCAAACAAACGCTCTCATAAACTGTTCCATTTTCAAATTTAACAACAACATTATTTTTGTTTTAAATTTGCCTTCTGTCTAGCTTACAGAGGACGTATTGAAATACTAAGTTTTATCATTTTATCTACACGTGCACTTATAATGGAAAACTAGGTATGCAAGTATTTTATGAAGTACTTGGTACTTATGGGTACTTATTTACGAACAATCAATGCATCTTTGGAATGATAATATCGCTACTTTTCAAACGTCGTCGTCGGCAATAAATAACTTTCTTGAAATATGATTCAATCATTTCACGTTGTTCCTTTCATTTAAAATACTATGTTACTTAAGCAGAGTTATTATTTTTTAGCTATTCTTTCGATTGGTATCATAAAAGTAGGGTGATTTTTTTTTGACATTTAAGTTGGTTCGATTCCCAGACGAAGCAAATATTTTTTTTAAATCTATGAATGCAGAATTACTAACTTTTAAAAATAACATAAAGTCTTCTTTCAGCAAAATACTCTATATACGATATTTAAGGTACTTCCCCTTCATGGCCCATAACTTTGGGACGCCCTGTATATGTACGTACCTTGACAGAGGGGATTGCCTATCAATGACGCCTCCAAAGTATGAACACTTAATACACGTCCGATCGGATAATCGGATCGAGTGGCAAATAGCGTCCGATTTTATTACCGGTCCGATTGTCTGAAGGCGCGCTCTCTTTAAAAATATATTTCGTCTTACGATACGAAATACACGTCCGATGCTTCCCTCCGATTTGCAGCATCGCCAATACTAATTTTAAAATCCCCAAAAATCAAGATTATAAATTTTGGGTGAGCATAGGTTATATTTCCCACATGTATTAATATTTATTCATTCTCAGTATTTATTATATTATTATTTTTACGCTTAAAAATATATCAAATAATTAAGAAAGTCAAAATGTGCCCATCACATACGTTATGCTATAATCAGAAATAATCTCAAGAAGTTGGATTAAGTTTAAACCTTAATATTTAAGGTTACGAGCGGAAAGTTGTGATATTAAAATACCTACTGCTCGGCTTTGTTTGGCAATAGCTGATTTCTGTTTTTTCATAACCGAGACACGCCAAAACGTGAGGAAGGGTCGCGCGCTCAACACGCACCGACTGATCATGCTATTTATGAGCCAGGCTCTTGTCGGTGACTGATAGTAGTAATAATTTCAAATCCTATCGGCTAATTTATAGACATAAGCGGTTTGCTAATAATTCTATATAAATGTTGCTATGTAAGCGGGGCATGCGCGATGTTGAAAAAAATATCAATATCGTTCATAAGCAAACAAATAAATAATGTTTTTATCAGTGATCATCAATATAAGAAAAATATGATGAAATTCTAGAATGCGAGGGCATTTTCCCCACATAGCTTAATCCAAACAACATCCTCAAACAAGTTGTTGAGTTGAAATTCCCTGTATTCCCCGTAAATTGGCAACACTGCAGTTGGTTCAGAAAAAGTCTGACTTAAGAATCGGACGCCTATCGGACGTGTATTGAGTGAATCCGATCCGATAGTCGGATCCGACCATCAGACACGAAATCGGACGTGTATTACCGCACTTAATCTGTGTCACTCGCCAGACTCGCCTCCTACCGCTCCGCCGCCCCGCACCATTCTTTCTTTGCGCTTGTCAATTTTGTGATTCGCGTGTAAATCTAGGTTAGATTGTGTTTTTATTAATTTTAAACGCGTGGAACTATATAAACTGTGCTCCAATTTACGTATAATTTTTCATTTTAGTTGCACAAAATGCAGAACGACGCCGGCGAATTCGTTGACCTGTACTGTCCAAGGAAATGGTACGATGTTGTATAGGTTATGTTTTATGTCCACATTTTTTCAAGAATTTTATCACAAATATATATACGCATGTGATAGTAATAAACATTTATGAATTAAAATGTTATTTTTTCATATCATTATTATCACTTTGACCTCGTTGTTGCGCAGCGATTTCATTGACTGATATTAAAAAGATTCCAATGAACATTGTAGGTTAATTGAACTCGAAAAACCGTTAAACATCTTTTGTAAACTAATACGGTTGCCAAAATCTTTGAACCAAAAGGAAACATTTATACTAAATTAATAAATACAGACCACAACCCAGCAGCCAATTGCTAGATAACACAGTACATTTAATTCTCCTAAATAGTCAGTGTTCAGAGCTGCTGACAACATCTGTAACATTGTATATAATATATATTGTAGTAAACAGCCGGTAGTAACCGCGAGCGAGCGCAATAGCGAGTTATGGGTTATAGCTAAGGCTACACAAAATTTTTTTTATTAATAATAGGATTTCTTATTTACAGCTCAGCAAGTAACCGTTTGATCCACGCAAAGGACCATGCGTCTGTCCAACTGGTGATTGCAGATGTGGACCCCGCCACAGGCCGCGCTGCAGACTCCGCAAAGATGTATGTGGTGTGTGGAGCCATCAGACGCATGGGGGAGAGCGATGACTGCATAGTGCGGCTCACCAAAAAGGATGGAATTTTGGCCAAGTAAGAAATAATTAAAATAGTAAACAAAGAATGCCATGCCCATAATAGGGCAAGCTTAATAATGAAAATTATAGGAAACTAAATGTATGTACCTGCTGCAAGTAACATCGGTTTGTTTAAATTATCCCCAGATAATAAACCTAAATTTACTTTATGTCAGCTTCCTAATGGTATGGTATGGTGTAACGGGCTGTTATCGAAGTTCAGTTGTCCAACTCTGCTTTTTAAGCATCTATTTCGCGTGTGGTGGGTACTGGGTCGTATTCTATCCACCCAAGCTCCTCCAAATGTGCGCGGCGATTTCCTCCCCCTCCACGTATCTCTCTGCCGGCTCTGCATCAGCCGCCCGTGATACCTAGATTGAAAAGGTGTTTATTATATAGACCATTCGCATGCGCAGCTTCGTCCTTTTGAGGTTAAGAAACTTACGAGATAAACTGGTTAAGTATGCCAGTTCATCTACTGCGTCATTGCCACATGAGCCGCTGTGTCCTTGATCCACTGTAGTGACGTGGTTGGTTGGTTGTACGTACACACCTCTGTTAGTGCTAGGTGGCATTCATGGATAAGCTGAGTTTATGTCATAGCTGCCCAGTGCTTGAAGTACTGACATGCTGTCACACAGTATTCGAATGGAGTAGTTCTGTACTCTTCTATCTATGGTTGCTTCTGCTGCCAAATTGATACCCATACATGCAGTCTGGAACACTGTATTATAGTTGCCAAACGGTGTTGAAATCCTGATATTGTCGTCTGAAATACCCCAGTATGAGTTCCTGAATTCGTTTTGGACCCGTCAGTGAAGATGCGAACCTCTTTGGGGTTTAGTAGTCCTTCATTAGGATCACAACAGACAACTGTATCTTGTATTTTTTGTCGAAAATGTATTGTTTGCGGATCCCGTCCCCAGCCGCCTCCAGCAGCGGTTGCTCCTTAACAATCTTGTAAAGGATTTCTATATGTGGGGTTCTTCTGGACTTCCATAGGCCATCTTTGATTAAATGCACTGCTGTTCTCGCCGCTTCCTGTCTGATGTACAGTGCGAGAGGGGTCAGGTTCAGCATCGCTTCGAAGGTGCATGCTAGTCTTTGTCAATTTGATTCGTAGCCACCATACTATCGCGCCGTAGCTGATTGTAGGTCTTAATACCGCTGTGTAGAGCCATACAGTTATTTTGGGTGAAAGTCCCCATTGCTTACCTACCATTCTATGATACTGCCAGGTGATGGTAGCTTTCTTGATTTTGTTGTCCAAGTGCTTGTTCCAGATTAGCTTGTTGTCAAGGGTAACTCCTAAATACTTGACAACCGCTGATAATTTTAGTTCTGTGCAGAAGAGCTTGGGTAGTAGGTAGTTACACATTATTATTGTGTTTGTAAACATTACTAGCTGTTTTTGTTGGATTTACCAATAGTGTATATAAACTGCACCATTTTTCCAGGATTTCGCTTCCCAATACAAATGTTTAATGTAAAATCACCATTCGCAGTTGCCCCATATAGAAAAATTTTATATATTTAGTTTTCAATTTATCAAGTGACCTGTCATCATATAAATTCGTTTATTCCTACTTGTTCTGTTGACAGATCTAGTGGTCAGAACTACTGAGACTTTTTTCTCCCACTAGTTTTGTGTACGAGTTTACAGTCTAGAGTTGTACCTATAAATTGTTAAAATAAAATTTGCCAGATTTCCACGCCTGTTTGGCACTGCACCTGCACCTGTCACTTCACTTTTCAGTGAAGTGCAGAGTAATTTGTACTTGTTTTATTTTGGTAAAGATTTGTTTGCATTCATGCAATCATGAACTCAACCAAAACTCATCAACCATATAAACTCTTTACATAGATAAATGCATGTTTTTTAAATACTTCCTCTGTGCCTGAATGGTTACCATACCACGCAGAGGTCCCGGGTTCGATTCCCGTGCCGGGAGAAATATGTACGGCCTACATTTATTTCTCTCGTGAGTTTGGATGTAATTTGTGGTTGTCTATGTGTGTGTCCATGGCACCCACGATACAGGGTTTCCCTAGTCTGGGGCTATTAAAAAAAACACATTCCCAATTCATAAACCATGGAATATTTCATTGTTACTATAGGATAATTGGTGAATCTGTGGGGTGTTGTTATAGAAACCTACCCTATACTCATCAATACTACCTAGGTTTCCTCAAGACCCCAGGCTTGGCTTTTTCATACTAAATATTTACATCTACTCAATCGTTTTGTCAAAAGAAATGAAGAAAAGTGGCAATGGTCTTGAAGATAGCTGTTTTTTTATGTTACAGGCAGTTTCCAACTGCCCCGCATTTCTATTATTAGTATTTTTATAATAAGTTTGAATTTTGAATTGTGCGTCTTATTGTTTCAGGAACTACTGATGGGGTAGTTGTAAGAGAAGAACATTCATTCATAAATAAACACTTTAAAAGTTAGCATTTTTGTTTTAATTTTTGCTATACCAATTCCAAGTATTTAAGACTCATTAAGTTGTAGAGCCAGTCATTAAGCTGTGTAGTTCAGTTGCAAGTGGCAAGGGTTTGTTGACACGACACAAGAATAGTAAAGAATGTAAGTTGGAAGGGAAATTTTCATATCAAGCGTTTAAAATATATAGCGTAAAAACTATTTGGTAATATGCGGAATGTTTGACTGGCGCCTGAACCAAACAAGTGGGAAAGACATAAATTTACTCAAGTAAGAATAAACAGCCAATAACTACATTGATTATGTTGTTGTACGGGACGTTTCAAAAGACGAAAGCAGGGACTGCAAGGGCGCTGATCGGGACTCCACTGGCCAATGGCAGAAGATGAGGCGGGCCCTGGATGTCGGAAGTGTCGCCTTTCGCATTTCATGAATGTGCTGTGGAAAATAAAATTGTTGTAAAATTAATATGGCGGGCAAATGAGCGTAAAAGTATTGTATATGTATTATGATACACTTGTTCTACATACCCGTATTAATAATTGTCTCTCTCATAACATAGGAAGTACCTATGTAAGAAGGGTGTCACAGAAAGTTATAATTTGGTAGCAGTAGCCACGTCAACCAGTGGATTCACAGACCGGCGCCTCAGGACGCATGGGCCTCGGCTAAGGCTGCGAAGCGACGGGCAGAGGTCAGCGGCCGCCGCCGCAACCAGGCTTGCCGCCGGGCGGCGGGCGGCAGATGGTGCGGCGTTTGCAAGCCGAACTGCACCGCCCCATCAGCGCCAACCACGCCACCACTAGCCACACCCACCACGCGGCCAGGCCGCACCGCTGGTACATGAACGCGCCCGTCTGCCGACATGAGGTGGGCGTATTACCACCATGTGCAGAAGCCGATACGTGTAGCAAATTACCTATTCCAAGCTACTATTAAGTACAACTTCCACATATTAGCAACAGCGTCTCCCCTCTATGTGTTAGGATGTATTAAAAATGTAATACGCATTTACAACAATGTAGATTTACAAAATAAATTAAATATTACTGATGTAAAACTTGCCATCTCTGTGTTAGGCGAAGCCTCCTTAGCAATATCACGTCTGTGCCAGAAGGTAGGTACGTCTCCTACCAGTACTTAGGTTTGCACCCACCAGGACAGCGCGGCGGTCGGCACGGGTGTGCTACAGTCCCCTGCGCATAATTTAAATAATTAACACGTTTTCCGTACTGAAAAAAACTTAACTATCATCTCGGGGGTGAGGAGCACAGAATATGTAAATAATGAATGACGAGCGACTGATCAGAAAATTCGCCGTCTCGCGTCACGGAAATCGCGACGACGCAATCATTTCGGCCGTAAACAATAGTCGAGCCAATGGTAGCCTTCAATAGAAGGTAGTCAATCGTGTGGAGGAACAGTAGTCAAAGCGGGGCGGAGTGAAGTGAAAAATATCACTCTCCGCTCTGGCAGGGACAAAGACATGCGGAGCGGAGACTCGCGAAGAAACAAGCAACGGAGATTGCCGGTGGAGCGGGGCGGACCAAATTGAATGCCTTCCCTCCGCTAGCGTCGCAGACAAAGCAAGACAATTAACAAAATAGTACTAATTAGAGTCATAGATTCCACCATCGTCAAGTATGCTCCGTGTATCTCCTACGGCCCGTATCTCCGCTCCGCCCCGCTCGGCTTTGCTCCGTACCTTGTCTTCGCTGTGGTCAGACTCAGTTGCCGATCGGCGGGGGCGCCATCGGCGGCACGTTGCCACGACGTAACGCGCGCGGCGTCCAGCAGGTGCCTCTACACGAATCCCAGTGCACTTTCCCCTGCTACGGTTGCATTGCATTAAAGGTTTGTTTGCAATCAGCCACGGTATAGCTTGGCCGCCATACGTTTTGGCCTTCGAATGGTGCGTGGGAATGGGTGCGCCAGCTCATGACGGTCTAGCTATAGCTTGTGTTAAATATAGGTATAGGAAAAAGTGGTAATCTGGCCCCCGCAGGTATATTGGCCCCCTTGAATATTAATAATTTAGATAAGCGTTATCTAGTACATATTTGATGCAATATGATGCTTCTGTGTTAGTTTTGATAGAAAACCCACGAAATTCGTAAGATGACACTTCGTTAGTCAGTTATTACAAGTAAAAACCTGCAACTTTGAAATATTTTTCGCCGCTCGGTATTTTATTCAGTTTTTCTGAAAAAAGTGAGTTACAGGTTTGGAGGTTTGGACATTCAGTGAACTAGACGTTTATTTACCGGATTTTGAAAGTATTTACGTACTACAGGTAATCTTACGGAAACATATGCTATTAAAAATCTATGGGCAAAAGATTACATTTTATTAAAAATCAATAATAATACATTAGTAATAATACCTACATCAAAGTATAATACATTCCTTCGGAAACGTAGATGCAATTATCTGTATGTATGCCATTACAGGCAACATAGGACTACTTTGGCTGGAAGGCACTTCCATGTTCTCAGTGCTCGTCTATATAACTTCGTTAACAGTAAAATAAATATATACTCTCGTTCCCGTTACGAAATCAAGAAAAAATTGACAACTTTGTTAAAATGCTATGATTATGATGCCACAGAGACGATGTTATTGTAATATCGCAAATTTTATTTAAGTGAATAATCAAACAATTAGGTTATGTACCTTCATCTAAATTTTTTGGTATCCGACTCTCCTAATGTTAAGACCTTATAAGCATCCAAAAGCAACAATTATAACGCACCCTCAGATATTTCACACACATGCACTGATTGTCGAATCAGTATAACTCACAACACACTACACTTACTCTCCACTTTCTTGATACACACTGCGGCTTATTTACCTAACATAGTTTAAGTCTTCTATAAACTGTACTAACTCTTTGAACATCTTTCTCATATTTTATTCTTTTCTGGGTCCCAAATGAACAGTTTTATTGTACTGGTTTTGGGACTACAGAGTTCCTTTTAGTTTACCTGTAAGCCATTTGCTGATAAAAATTCGATTGATGCTTGCCCGCCGTGGCGGCAACGGTACTGTCTGCTAACACAGGTTAAATCCTTTTGTGAGGTCTGGATGTTGCCTGACTGGTCAGCAATCAATCAATAACTAATAATTACTGTATTATTTTTATACTATTTGTAATGGCTATCAATAAAGTTATTATTATTAAAAAAATATATATATGTATATATATTATATATATAAAATACAAAATATCATGATAAATAATACATGTAATGTAGTTTGATTTTATATTTTATGTTTTTTTGTAATTTGGTCCCCTCACGTTGTTTGTATTATGGCCCCGGGGGTCATATAACATGTATTACCTATATAACATTTAATTCGATTTTTATTTTGGATTTCTAACAGTGCTCACCCTTCTAGCACTCCAGATTACATGCTGTTGTTGACCAAGTTGCCCCAGGAGTGAGTACATCGGTACAAGAACCGCAGGGTGGTTCGGTTCTACCAGAAGACATCCAGCCTATTCCCAGGGCCAACATTAGGACTTCTAATCGTTGAAGAAAGGCTACAACAGCACAAGTAATTACATCGTCACCTTACAAAAACCAATTAACTGAATCTTTGCGGTTAGCAGAAACTCGAGGGCGTGGTAGACGTGGACGTGGTCGAGGACGCGGACGTGGACGGGGACGCGATCTCGATAGTCAAGTTGGAGGGGCTAGTGGCAGCAGGGCTAATAGACGCCAGAGAGACGTCACACCCAGCAGTAGCTCTGAAAGTGAAGCTATTGTAGAAACGGACCCTGAATATGACGTCAACGTCTGTCCAAATAGGATATCTGAAGGCTCAGATACAAACTGCATATTCTGCGATATCAGGTATTCTAACGACAGACGCGGAGAGGAGTGGATTCAATGTCAGAGTTGCAACTTATGGACTCATAAAGTATGTGCAGGTCCTGAAGGCGAATATTACATCTGCGATTATATTATATTTGCTAATAGATTTTTAATTAATATCATTTGTCAATACATTTAATATGACCCCCGGGTGCCATATAACCCTCCCTTGATCGTTGCGAAATTTGATTATATTTTAAATACACATATTTTTTATTATCCTGTGGTTATTTTATTTATTATATTGTAGAGTATGCATAGGTAAATGAATAAAGGTCACTATAATGTATATATACGATTTCTTCGTCAAATATTTTTTAAATGAGACCAATAAAACAAAGTAGGGGCCACATTACAACCTTTTCCTCTACGGATGACGTCACCCGGGCAAGGTGCCCATTTTGGAGCAGGTACATCGCTTTTCTAATTCAATTACAAAACAAAATGCGCAAACTCGTTCAACATAGACGTCATAACAATGTATTAAGGGTAAAGTAGCTACTATTTGACCACTTAATTTTGAACAGGCCTAAATTTTAAACCACCCAATGTAAACCGAAAAGTACAGGAAGATTAAAAAGGTCTTAAACTCTTGTACTTGTACTACAGGCCCCAGATTCAGAACTTTTCGATATTTTAACCGAATCGTTGGAGGGCGCCGGCGCCGGCGCCGCGCGCTTTCCGCTATTCAGAACATTCGAGTCAAACGTTCGATTCAGATTCGAATACGATATCGTTATCCAACAATGTCTACGGAGTTAGTCGGTGAAATAGATTATAAATGAAAAGAAAAATCCTTTTATATACATTTTTAAGACTTTAAAGCCCCAAAATATAGGAACGCATTGGTCTTGCATTAAAATACATTAATAAAATTGAGCAAAATCCAGATTTTATTTAAAATACCTAATAAAAGATTTTCGTATTACATTCTTGCTTTGTAAGCAATAGGACGTTCCATAACTGTGTCCTGAATAACGTTTGTACCCTTTGCCGGAGAAGTAAAGTAATCGTACGGTGTGACGTCATTTCGTTCGGTTTCGAGTTCGGCAGTGTGACGTTCGATTCGGGTGTTGTGAATAAAAATGAAAAGAAATCGTGCGATAGCAAATCGAATCGGTCGACAAATTGAGTGACTTAGTAACTTTTTTTAATGAAGCTAATAATGCTTAAAACAAAAAGCAAAAACATGTGACGATTGCCTTCTTTGGACCACCGCACCGTCATTTTAATAGGACCACTGAGTTGCCATCATTGAACTTAAGACCTTCCCTCGGTTCAATCAAAGAACCAGTTAATATAACAAAAATAAAATATAATGTTGCTTTCTTGAAGTCAGTCTCTATTAATAATAAATATCAATTGGAAATATTACTTCAAATAAATCTTAATTAATAACTGAAAAACCAAATACAAAGATACGACGCAATCACATAGAAAAAATCGTGAGGTCCGCTGGTTCGTTCCGTGGCTTAGTTAGTATAGCGTCTGGCACGGTGTGCTGGAAGACTTTTCGTTCGAATCCGGCCGGATCGAAGGACTTTTTCTGAGCGTTCGATCTTTGTATTAATAATTATAACAAACTAGTGGAGTAATTTCACATAAAATAATTTAATATCAATTCAATAAAAACTAAATGTTAAGAAGTTTGACAATAAAATTTGAAACTGGCTACGCAATATCAAATCTCTATGTAAGGCCAAATACAAATAATACAAAGGAACAATATGTTTATTTATAACCAATAAAACTATGAACAACCATATTCTTTGAAATTAGCAATAACCATAATCGTAAGGCGATTATTACACTGCACCGCGCCCCGCGACGGAGCGCGAAGCTGCGTTTTTTAACGTTGTACTAGAGTACCTCAGTTCATATGGAAAACACGCGCCGTCGAACACACTGGCAACGCTTCTCCGGCGAACCGCAGGGCGTGGCGCACTACGCTCCGCACTACCGCGCAGACGTTTAAGCTTAAGGACATGTTCAGTTTTCTACAATAGATCCCGACGTCGATCAATTTATATTTGATTTTGAAAATCGACCAAATTTATCTTCATATTTTCTTAAATCTTTGTTATGAAGGTGAATTATCCATTTATCGATCTGGTTCGTAAAAAGGAACGTATCCAATATCTTCGGTGTCGTTTTATTTGAGTAAATAAAAAGCAAATAGACAGTATAACTGCAGCGTCCTGAACGAGTTCTGTATTATTAAGCATACGTCGCGGGGCGCGGTGCAGTGTGTTAATCGTAAACAAAGACGTAGTCTAGCAAAAAGCAACGGTCTAGCGGCCCCGCGTCACTTAAAGTACTCGCTTCGCAGTTGGTCGCCGTAGTGATTGCACATGTAGCTGAGATCCTTCTTTAACAAGAATTGTTAATAATACAGAACTCATTCAGGACGCTGCAATTATACTATTTGGTTTTTGTTTACTCAAATAAAAAGGCACCGAGATAACATTCAACTTCATTACAAAGGTTTAAGAAAATATGAAAATTAATTTTTCAATTACATACGTATGTCAACTGAATCCTTTGATTATTTATTAGGGGAAATCCGAACGACAATTACTGGAATAGACACAAACTGATTAAAAATCTGCGCGGTAGTGCGGAACGCAGCGTGCCATACCCTGCGGTTCGCCGCGCCACTCGGGGCGGAAGCGCGGTAAAACCGCGTACGCCGCGCTTCCGCGCGGAGTACTGACTCCGCAGCACAAACTAATAAGAGATACTAGTGTTGGGTAGAACATGAAATTAAAATGAGTTCGAGGGAGTACCTCATTTGAAAAAATGAGGCGCTACAATGTCCTACTTCTTAACTGCCTCCGTAGCCGAACGGTTACCATGCCGGACTGCCACGCACAGGTCCCAGGTACGATTCCCGGGCCGGGAGAAATATTTGTATGGCCTACATTTATTTCTCTCGCGAGTTTAGGTGTAATTTGTGGTTGTCTATGTGTGTGTCCATAGCACCCGCGCGACGGTTTCCCTAGTGCGGGGCTATGTTGAGTGTGTGCGTTATTATTATTACTTCAAACGAGGTGAGGTAGTGATGAGAATGTTTGCACCTACGGCAATAACTCCACAGTCAGGGAATATTAAGCACATTTTCATAACTTGGTGGTATCAATCAATTGGATAACTTAAGTGTTATGATGATGTAGTATAAATAAATGCTAATTTTATAATACTACGGTTGTATGATCATATGATGTAAAATCAGCTAAAAAGCGGGCAGTGCAGGATCAATAATTATTGCATTTGTTGAATTCGAAGTATTGTGACATGAGTGAGGCTGTGACAAATGAAGTGAGGTGGGATATTTTTATGACATGATGTATTATGACAAACCAACCAAGCGAGTGGTACAAACGAGTTGCCTCGTGTATGAGTAACTCAACACTATAAATAATAAATAAAATATATAAATAAATAACGCACACACTCAACATAGCCCCGCACTAGGGAAACCCTGTGTCGCGGGTGCCATGGACACACACATAGACAACCACAAATTACACCCAAACTCACGAGAGAAATAAATGCAAGCCATACAAACATTTCTTCTGGCCCGGGAATCGAACCTGGGACCTCTGCGTGGCAGTCCGGCATGGTAACCGTTCGGCCACGGAGGCAGTTGAACACTATGTCAGTGTGTTGGACGGCGCGCGTGTTCCATACAAACTGAGGTACTTCAGTACAACGTTAAAAAACGCAGCTCCGCGCTCCGTCGCGGGGCGCGGTACGGAGCGGTGCAGTGTGTTACTCGCCGAAATAAGGCATGAGACCAGGAGTACAATTACGTCTTTCATTAAAACTATCGTAACATATGAGCTGAATAATGTTATTCATGATATATTATTATTTAGATAGATAAATAATTTGTTTCTCGTCTTTTTCAATATCTACATATTGAATATCATTATGTTTTACTATAGTAGGTACCTACTACCAATGATTTTTAAGTATACTTATATAAGTCATTGTTTACCATGTTATTAATTATTTTTGTGGAAACACTATTCCACTAGTTTGTTGTTATTGATACAAAAAGCAAAGAAAATTTCCCTCGATCTGTCTGGACTTGAACCAGGGTCTCTATTGCCGTTTTCCGTCCGAATCAATAAGTAATTCTCGACCACACAAACGCAAAGTAGGCGCCTTGACGTGGAGTTGAGGACACCAGTCTTTTACACCAACCCAAGTAATAGGTACTCGACCAATTCAAAAAACAATGCCAGGTACAGGGAATTACTGCCACTTTATCTATTTCTGCCGCCAAGCAGTAATGTCAGCATTATTGCGTTCCGGTTTTGGAGGGTAAGGGTGCTGGTGAGAGGGCGCAGTGGCATTGCCTTCCAGATCGTTGCTGTTTAAAGCTTCGAGTGGCACTGCAACTGTTATGGACAAGCTTGAAGCTTACCATCAGGCGCACGACTTGTTCGTCCCATCCCTAGATATTATAAAAAAGTCAATCATCCGTGTTTCAATTTGGTCGTGCATTACATATTGGACAGTAATTGTTTCGGACGGATAAAGACGAGCACGTCAGTAGAGCCCATCTGCGTGCGTCTGGTGCCAGGCCGCACGCCGCGGCGATCGCTCTTGCCAACTGTGCTACAGACCGAGTCGGCAGATCTTACTACTTTCTCTTTGTGCTTGTTACTGATGATTGTATTGGGTTTCTACGGCTTTTTTAGCTAGGAAATGCCTGTCAAGTTTTTCACTCAGTCACAGCAGCTTTACAGCGGTCAGAGTATTTTTTTTATTGTAGGAACGCAGTTTGTATTGTGACACAGGTTTTGTTTTAGCGTTGGCGCCCCTCCCCGCGCGAAACCACACTTTCCCTCGCCACCCTGTTCAACTAATAAGAACAAAAATTAATATATATTTCCACCGGAAGATTCTTGTTACTGCCTCACCTAGTACTAAATACCGCTCCTGGACACATTTCTACTTCAACCCCATGAAACATAAATAACAGGGCAGGGAAATCGTTAAGTTTTCCTTGGATTAAGTGTTCATTGTTGACAGAAATAGGTACTTCTCAAATCTATACAGGGTTATTTGTAAAACACTAACAATCTCGCATAATACCTACATAACGTCATAAACAACAACTTTTGCTCTATATAAATTGGCAGGTATAGACGACATTAATTGGTACGTGCAATTAACTACTTAGTTATGGTCGACTTACCCCTTTGGCACCCTTCTTCTTACAGGCACCAGCGAGCGTTGCGATCTGTCGATAGTCAAACGCCGTTTAGTCAGAGCACAAACGCCGTATTCCTATTCAGTCTACACAAGAGGACGCATTACACTCCCGTTGTAGAAACAACTTACAAAAACTGGGAAGATTTATAAAAACTAGCTAATTCATAGGGATAGAGCACTGCGCTGTCCAGAGCAGAGTCCGTCTAACTCTACCGAAATCATTAGTCCGCCCTGCGCCCTCGTAACAGGAATCGCGAAAGAGCTTAATGATTTGGAGAAGCTGGACCCTTCGTGCCTTTAGTGTCAACACCTTATCCTCTATCTATGAAGGTTCCTCTCACGAGCGCTGACGTCTTCGCCGACAGAGCACCCACCTGTACGAAAAATATCAGCAGACACCAGAAAGCGTCTGTAGAAATCTTCATATTCGTGTAATAGCCAAGGTTTGAACGGCGGCACCATTACATCCGGATTTATGGCATTTTTGATCGAAAAACTATTGCAACAAATTTTTGATTACATGTTAAAAAAATTCTTTTGTTCTGTTTCTGTCAGTCGTGTAACATTTCCTTAGAGGATGGCAAAAAAAAACATTTCCAATGAAGTCGTCAATCGCGAACCTGCCAGTTTTGCGGAGAGGCTGTCACAGCAAGGAGACCGCCAAAGGGATCGATTTCGGTCTACTTTGTAGGCGCGGTTGCTAAGTTTAGGACTCGTGCAGTACAGCGATTGTCAGTTGGCAGCCAGTGAAATCCTTCCAGATAAAATGAAGAAAACCAGTAAGTATGTAAAACGTCTAATTAATTTATTCACAAAGCATCGAACATCACAGGAAACCTGTCCAGTCGCCGCACCCGAAACATGTCAAGCGGCAGGCCGGTAGAAGATCTGTCCTGCTAAGCACCTGGTCAGCGCACGCCAATACTCGCGACACACTCCGCAGAGCGTGCTTCGCCGCACTCGCTTGCCGCTCGCCGCGCCGCTCGCCGCGCCGCTCGCCGCGCCCGCGCCCCCCGCGCGGTCCCTCGGCAGCCCCCGGCCGCTGTCCGCGCTGCGCGTCCGCCGACACGAGTGTGCTCGCTTCGATTCCCTGTACACCTGGGGACGTCGGAAAATGGTCAAATCCACTCCGGGCCAGTCACTAAAGGAATTAATCATATTTATTCTTGATAGTGCATAAAATTCTGTTTAGTTTTTTTTGTTATTAATCGTTCTTAGTTTCATTGAATAATGTAGAATTTTCTTATTGAATTGTTTTTAATTTTATTTTAATAATGTATATGTTTTAGTAAAGTATGGATATAGTGCCCTCAGAATGTTGCAGTGCCCCCGCGAGGTGTTACATGTCAAGTACCATAAGCATAAGAACACCTGTAATATAACCATGTACCTTGCAAATAAAGAATATGAATATGAATAAAGGCAGAGTTCGACAATATACCTTAGAATTATTCTAAATATACCTGCAATTATATCTTTACATTCTCTTGGTATTTATTAAATTAATTCGATCAACAAAATCTTACCAATATCGTACCGTGTGTCTTATCACAGATATTCGAAACGTCAAAATGTCAATCTCAAAAAAACTCACAAAATTTCTTCGTGTACATTTAGTTTTCTCACTGTTTGTCATGTTTAGTCAAAAATGAACAACTCAAAAATTGTCAAAATTATGAATCCGTATGGATAATCATCGCGACAATTGTCAAAAGAATTAAGTATCTTAGTAAATTTCGAATCCGTTCTGCAAGACCAGCTCGAGCTCGGAACGCGTCGCGGACCATCTGTCGGAGGACCGCTAAGACCAGAGACGCGCCGTACACAACAAGAAAAGGCAATCACCTGCCCACCATCGTCCGCACAGCAGTCGGCCCGCCGAGGACTGCGGAGGACGCTGCAGTCCATCTCTTCGGTCGAAGGACACTTTAATAACCTGCCGACAGTCATTCGTTACGCTCCATCCGCTTGGATATGGAACAGACGTACCTATTGGCGCAATGCGACATCACAAATAATAATTTAAATCCTCTACAACGAGACCGTTGCACAGAGGAGATGTTTACAGACAGCTCATCAAGAGTACGCGTGTCGATTTCGCAATTGTCAATACGATGACATCTTGCTGATCAGCATCGATCGGGCTTGAAGGATAATAAGCGATTAAACTTACTATCGAGGAGACAGTTCGAGGCCCGGATACTTAACCTATGGACAGTGGCTACGTGCTGCGCTGGGCAGACGCATCTCGGGGACCGCGGCTGCTCCAGCCGGTAGCTGGCGTTATGCCCAGGCACCGCGACCTGGACGCACGTCAGCGACGACGGCAGCGACTGACCCACTGCGCGCTCCACCAGTCGCTTGGCCGCCTGTTAGTGTAGTTGTAGTGTCACTCGTTATTATTATTAGGTAAAATTATAAAAAGCTAAATTTGTTTCTCTACACGTCAATAACATTGTCATTAAAATATTGTAAGAAACCATGAAAATATATCTACTTAACCAAGAATGAGACAAACGTTTTGTGAGCTAGTTCTGGATAAAACAGTCCTTACTAAAAATATGAAATAATTTTTTACTTTTATTTTCAAATATACTTCTAATTGGCAAATTGGAATTGTATAAATATGTAATAAATTTTAACTCATACATAAATTATAATAATCTTTCACGGGGACTGAGTAATTCGTTTTTCAGGTATTCTGAATAAATTCACTTTTTGAGTTAATACACTATTGTATTGGCAGTGCGAAAAGAATTATCATATATATTTTAATAACGCGCACACACACATCAGACAACGACAAATTACACCCAAACTCACGAGAGAAATAAATGTAGGCCATAATATTTCTCCCGGTCCGGGAATCGAACCCAGGACCTCTGCGTGCATGGTAGCAGCATGGCAGTTCAATTAATATAGATAAATTAGTACAACTATTGTTGTAGTAGCTACCTACACACGGCAAGTGACCATGTTTCTTCTATGTAGATACAACGTACGTGTACGTGTAGTACCGGACTTAACACTGCTACGTTCGGTTCGTTCTCCAAACACATTTCTTTTCATACAAAATTCTCTCAAATTAGTGCAAAGAAGAAGGAAGAAAACAGATTGCGTGATGATTACCGTATTAGGCGCGAGTAACTGTGGCGTTAACAGCTGCGACTCCGTGGCCACGACCTTGTCCGACACGGACACGGAACCGGACGAGACCAAGAGGGCGCGCGGCCGCCGCGCCGCCGCCACGCCGCCGCCCGTGCCCGGCCGCGTCGGCGACCGACCGCGAGCCATAAACACGCGGTTCAGCTCGTCTAGTTTTGACATTATTATCTTGTACGTCTTGCATTCGCCCGACTGCGTAATAAATAAATGATATTTTTTCTCCTTCTACGTACCTACCGGACGACTACTGTCGTCAACCAGACGTTTCTGTCGTTCCTCGTGAAACGTCGTCCCGGCGCGGTCCTCTACGACTGCGGCATACGTACGATTGTAGGTATTGGCAGGCGTGCGCGTGAAGGAAATCGAGCAGTTACCCTAATATTGTCCTTGCGGCGACGGTCGCGCTCGGATCGCGAGCGACTCGTGTACGAGGAGTCGCTCGAGTCGGACGACAGCGAGGCGTCCGCCGCCAGCGAGCGGGGCGGCGACGGCCGCGGGGGGCCCGTCGCCACCGCCGTCAGCCGGTCGCACAGCCGCGCCACCCGCGCGATTTGCTGCTGCGGAGGCGTCGGGCTCGATTAGGGCGGAGGTCGACCCGCGCGGTCTCGCGGCCTGTCGCGACGGCTCACCTGCTGATCCCGTAACGCGCGCTCGCACGCGACGCGGAATTTGCGCATCGAGTGGGTGGAATGCGTTGCGCGAGGAGCGCTGTGCGACGTCGCCCCGCGCCTGCACAAGTGTGACGGTTGCCGATGCCGTACAGGTTTGCACGCGCCGCAGCGGCAGAATTGGCGGGTCGGTTACCTGGCCGGGTTGCGCGGCCGCGGGCCGTAGCTGCCGTCGTCGGACAGTCCGGAGTCGTGCGAGTAACGCTTGGCGCAGCTCGTGCTGTAGCTGTTGCGGCAGCCGACTTTGTCGCGCGCACCGCCGCTGTCCACCACCAACCGCTCGCTGCCACAAACAATCTTTATCCTAGCCGAACGAGCATTGCCACAAAACCGAATTTCTCCATTGAAATAAATTCACTCCGCGCGAGACGTCACCAAATCTACCCGTGCGAGGCAAGTAATTTAAGACTAGACGAGACGGCCGCGGACGAGCCAGCCTGCTGCGCACCCGAGCTGGTCGCGGCGGAGCGGCCGCGCCCTCGCCGGCGCCGGCGGCCGCGCCGCGCGCATGTAGCGGTCCAGGTCGATGATGTCGGGCGGCGGCGCGGCGCCGCTGCGCGACCAGCTGTTGGACGACCGGCGCGACTCCGGCGTCATGCTGGCGCCGCCCGCGTCGCGCCCGCTCCGCCGCTCCGCTGCCGCCGCTGCCACTGTCGGTGCGCCTTTCCTTCACGCTCTGCGAATTCACACGACTTCCGTTCGGCGGGCCGCTGGACGCGCCCTGCGCTGTTCCCGTTCCGAGTTTATTCTGCGCCAATGTACCTAGTCAACATGATCAGGGTCGGGGCACGGACACGACCGCCCGCAGCTTTCGCCAGCTGACGCGCTACTGAACGGACAATAGACAGCTAAATTGACAATCGTCGCGTGGAATGCGTGCTAAACGCATTCTCACATCACAAACATTTCACTTCACTTCACTTTTTATTTTTATGGCTCCATCAATATGAGAACTGATGATTTTGCCAATGTCACAGTTGAAAGAAAAAAAACGAAACAAAAAAAAAAATTTTCGCTAAGCTCTAATAGGACATTAACCGGTGTTGGTAAGTTGGACTACGGGAGTACTCAGTTGAGAATGTAAAACAAACAAACATTTCAGTCGGGAGCGACGAGTGCAGGCCCGTATGTCGACAAGCCAAAGAGAATTATTATTACACAAGCCTACTTCCTTCAGATCCATAGGCGAGATGTAGGCGAGGCTGCGGCTACTTGTGACGAATAGGGTGGCTCGAACGTTTCTAACCTGTGACTAAAAGCCGGAGTTCGGCCGCGTCAGGGCGCGCCGGCCCGACTCAACCCGACTCTGCCCAAAGGCATCGCGCCGGACCGACGTCCTTTGACGCGAACGAAACGGACGCCGACCTTCTGACTTCTGACGCAGTCACGCCCCGGTGTGTCCCCGCTCTATGCGCGGTCGCGACACTCCGAAGCGAGCCAAATATAGACAAAAATGAGCCCCGCCAGTCTATGAATCCATCCTTATGATGAGGTCGCACTTGTTTTATCATTTCCGAGGAGGTTTTAATCGCCGTCACACGAGTATCAACAAGTTATCCGACGTTTTCGGCCACGCGACGCAACCGACTGGTACAAATAAAACCAAATAAATATGGGCAAGTTAATCGTGTTTATTTCATTATACAATAATTTTGTTTCATAAAAATTAATCGCTCAGGTTTCACATTATTCTAATTAATAGAAAGTTTCATTATTCTACTTGACAAACCATTACAAATTTTTAATAGCCAATTTATTTAAATGCTTCAAATTTTTGTATTAAATATTGGATTTTATTTTGTTCAAATAATCATTTTTTTAAAATAAATAACAATTTGGATTACACAAATACATTTAAGTCAAAAGTAAGTTTTTATATATTAATTGCTTTCAATTATTTGAGAAATTAGCATCAATGTTAAATTCCTCCTCCTAAACATTTTAACAAAACTTTGTACATACATCGCAAACGCATCACTACAAACGTTTATGTATATAATAACTAGTCGTAAAGCTTTTTGTAAATAAACTAAGCGCGCCATTCCCGAGTCAACATGTTGGGCGACAAAAGGAGCACGGCATCAAAGGTAAGGACATTAACTCATCAACGTCTCCTCATAGGCGTGTCTGTGTATCGGCCTTCATGTTAACTAGTGAATCTCCCGCTTTACAGTAAAAATAAACAACAAAATAACTCCATTTAACATTTACAATCAATTATAGAAACTGGTAACAACTTTGTCTCGTGTTTTTCTAAGGTTCCATCCAACAAAATAGTCCCAACTTTAAAGGGATGGCACATGATTGGAAAAATGTAGTTGCTATACAGGTTATTCTGAATTAGCCCTAAAAGCCTTAACACAGCATTTGTAAAGTTAACACAAATAATTATTACTCTACAATGTTTTAAAATTAACACAACGACTTCACGACTTTCCATACAAATCAGAATCACAATTTATTTGAACGAGAACATAAAACTTTTGTCAATTTCCAAGAATGGTCGTACATATTTAATAATGCGAATCGTGTTTAGATTTCATGAAAAATAACCCTGTACAAACATCAAACTTAATTTAACAAAATTATGAACACCTCGAACAATTCCCAAATAGCGACGTCCTTCACTTGAAAATATTCTGTAAATCGACAGTGAACTGGCAACCGGTACTATCTCAATTTTAACAACTTTACAGGATGAAGAAAAAGTAATTTATATAGCATCTGGTTTATTAAATAAAAATACGTAGTGTACATACATACACGTGCAATAAAAATATTTAAAAACTACGTTTTTTTATATTATTATTTTTATTTATTAAACCGATTTTTTTTCTTCACCTGTAAAGTTGTCAAAACGGAGATAGTACCGATTGCCAGTTCACAGTCGAAATGGAGAAAATTATGCTTCGTAAGTAAAATACTTGAATTTCTTTTGATTATTATTTTCAACCTTCCCACCGGATTTGCCTGTGAATATTTAAATCTAATTCGACAGCTTAATTTCCCGTGGACATTTTCCACGCGAAATTAAAATGTAACTTAACAAGTCACCAGCCTTTTAAAAACACGTTACCAAAGAGATTCTTAGTTTCACGAAGAGATTCACACAACAAAACATACTTCGTCTTCTGCTCGCAATCACGTGTTAATATTTATTACATCATGAATTTATCACATTATATTATTTAATGTACATCAACTTCTGTTACTACATTTTCCCCGTCGACGGATCTTTTGTGTTCGACAACTTGACGTACGCCAAAGGGAGACATTCACTATCCAGCATGAAGTTCGACAGTATAGCGAGTATTCTTATGCCTTCCCATAACTTTGTTCCTCATCGTCGACCAACATGTAGTACAATGAATGACCCTTGTCGTATTTCCAACACATCGTTCAAGAGAAATTCTGCATTGACATGTTCAGAAAAGTGCTACCTCAATGTTTTTTGGATTCAAATTATTTTTTAAATGCGCAGCACAGACTCAACTAGCCGCATTTAGTGTCCGCGATACGTAGACGCGTGTTCGGTGCGATGGCGGCGTCTAGTCGTGCGACGTCGGCGCAGCCTTTGTGCGTCACTGACTGTTCGCCAGCTCGTCCATTCGGCACCTGCACACACGGCGACAAATTTGTTATTGGAAAAGTAAAAAATCATCGTTCGTTCGCCCGTATCACCCATAATCGGAAAATTATCGTATTGGAAACACATTGTCTCGCTCACGACTGAAATTTATCGCATTAAATATAATAATTCAAAGTATTAAATGATAAATAATTGTTAGTGTTTTATAAGGGTCTCCACACACATTTGTCCAAGGTAAAAGACCGATTATTAAGAACCGAGAAGATTATATTTTCTAACGTATATGTTAAGACTACGCTTATTTTCCAATGGAGTAGGAAGAGACTTTTAATCTCTGGACCCTTACTCAATATAAACGCGGAGTTCATTTTCCCATACCGACAGTAAAATGGCAGTAAGTATAACAAATTTGAAATATCGAAATGAAAATCGCGTATACTATATTCGAGCCGTGAGATCATAAAACGCGACTCTGGCCTCGGGACCTGCACAGCCGGAAGAACGATCATTTTTATTTGCAAAAACAAAAAGTAAAAATGTATTTATTTCTCAAATCTGACACATATCGTGCAAATTTATGCTTGTGTTGGGCAATCCTAGCGACGTCTCTGGTCTTCATTGGTTGCTTCTAGCAAATCAATGGGTTGGTTATAATAGTTTCATAATAATAGTACAGCTACTATAGTTTCATTTCCAATGTGTAACTGCTTACGCCCCAGAACGCCCACAGTTTTGAACATAGCGTCGTCGTGACGTGTCATTGTTCTTAGGGCGCGTTCCCATTATGTCGTGACGACTGATATCGTGTAGTTTAAAATGTCGTGACTTGTATACGTAAATGAAGTTGTTGACACTTAGAACAACACGATTAAAGAAGAAGACGACAAGGCGGCTGCCGTGAACCGATAAATTGTTGTCACGATCTAGTGGGAACAGCTAGACACGAGTCGTTAGAAACGTCCACGACACAGTCACGGCAGATAGTCGTGTTATGGGAACAGGCTAGACGCGTTTTATTCATCTCTGGACGACCAGAGACGAATAAAACCTTACGAGAGAGATAAAGAAATCCCGTGTTCTCCAAGAATAATCCTCAGCAACTTCTCGCCTGAACAGCAACTATCGCAAAAACCTCAGAACACGATTTTAAATGGTCTAAAACTGTACTAAAACTAGTTTTGAGATTTACAATTTTTTTTTACTACTAATTTAGAGGATAATTCCAAGCGAATTGTTAGAATTATTATTGATTTATTAAGAATTATCAAATGTGTAATAGCATGAACCATGGCGTTACAACTGTTTCACGTTTGCGTAAATTGAATTTACCTGACGGCCATTTCGGCGACTTCGAGCGAGGGGTAGTCGAGCTCCTTCACGAGACACAGAACGGCCGACAGCAGGTTCGAGTTCTGAAACGTAACTAGAGCTTTATCGGGCTATACACTATCCTGCATGCGACATAACATACGGAGTTATGATCAGTTGCATACACAGAGAACAGCGGAGCACCGATTCCGTGCGATATTCGAACAGAGGCGTCCTCCAAAGCCAATAATCACAATTAGCATGTTATGAACTTCTTTTTGTTTTTAACGTTCTGTCAATTCGCGTCGCAAATGTCGACCAATACGCAAGGTAACGGCTTTGGCGCGGAAGTCCCTGCCTGCAGACTGAGGCATTCAAAGGCGTCTCGTGTTGGGTATCCTCGCGTATCCTACCGCTGCGAATTTGTGGCCTTACTCTCTGACTAAGAGACCTATAACTTGGGCCTTTTCAAGTCGACAGGGAACATACATTATTTACCTCGGCGTCACTTTCCGCCAGGTGAGACGAAGGGAAATGCGCGCTGATCGTGTAGATAATTTTGTTTCGAGATCTTTTCTAAAATGAAACGTATCTATTAGTGCACTACTAAGTTAGGGCAGATTTGCCTCACTCTAGTGACAGGCCTCCTGGTGAACCCGCGATGCTCGGCCATGACGGCGGAGGGATATTCTCTGTCCCGCTCCCGCGCAGAGTCGCGGTCGCGCGCGCTCTCTCGCTCCCACACCTCGGCGGGGCAGCGCTGCGGCACTTGCTGGCAACTCTCCGACCTGACGCGACACGTTCGCCAGTTAACGACTGCAGGCGGGTAGAGGCTTTCACCAGATTGCCCGTATTCATCGCAGAAACTTACCGTTCAGGGCGGTCGTAGTAGGGCTCGTGGAAGTGCGGAGGGGACGTCGCCCCCCTCGCCTCCCCCGCGCCCCCGCCGTACCGACAGTCGCCGTTCGACGCGTACGAGTACTCCTGCAACATATTGGAGCGCGTGGCATATTAGAGGATACATACACGTGTGACAAATGCCTGCAATGTAATAATAATGTTTTTGATGGTCAACCACAGAGTGAACTCAATAGTAAATTACTCTCATTGAACAACATGAAGCTACTCAAATGACAAATTGCTAAGCAAACACAAATTGACACTGCGCCCTGTGTACCAGGGCGCAGTGTCAATTTGTTTCAGCCACAGGTTAAGCAATACAAACCGTAATTTTATTTTAAACAATAAATTTATATGCAAATTCTTCATTATCCCTTGACGACACACTTTGCTAAATTTGGGCTCTAATCTTCCACAATACGTTATTCGAAGCTTATGTATCTGAACTGTAATGTTCCTTTGTTTTGTTTTAATTTGTTCATTTACAAAGAATTGTCAAACTCGCGTTTTTATAATTCCAAGTGTGGCCCAGAGATGAACAGAGACAGCCCAAATAGAAAGTGACCAAATGGAAAGCAGGACTGCGCGGAAGCGAACGGTGCGTCCGGTCCACTGTGTTATTTACCGTCCGGTTCGTTGCAATTAATGATTGTTACGTTAGATAGACGAAGCTGCGTTTCGGAATTACATGCGGACATCTCTCTATGTCAACTCTCGCGATAAAGTTCAAAGTTTCAAGTGCAAACCTCAACGTGTTGGCGACTGTACTACAATATCATTAATTAATAAAAAAATAAAAAAACAGTTCCATTATAAAAATAGTACAATAATCGCGGGAAAAAAATCGGCACGGCACGCTGAAGACGCTCCAATCCAACCGGGTCGGAGGAATTTTTCTCAGTGTGCGATCTTCGTGTTTTACTTTAAGATGGCGCAGCGCCGAGATTTGTAACAAGTGCACCAAATGGGTGATAGATAACACAATGCACCGGCGGCAGTGGTACCTTGACCGACTGTGCGGAGAACGAGTGCCGCAGCGCGGCGGCGTCTGGCGACCGCGCACGCGCCGCCTGCGCACACACATACGCACAGTCAACCTACACATCCCGATGCTGAACACTGGTCTCCGCGAGGGAGAGTTGCACACACTCACACAGTTGCAATATCGCGACGTGTCTGGCTGTGTACTTTAGTGTGTGGCCGGATGTGCCGAGTCCTCGTAGTACAGGGTGTTTCACAATGTTTCTCAATTTCGGGGACAACTTTTGACTGCTTTTGAAATTACGTGACATATAGGAAGAATAATGTGAAAATTAATAAAAATTGACTATGAAACCAAGTCCCGAAAGTTGCATTTGACTATTGTGCAACACGTGTACTGCTCTGATCTTTTCACGTGACAATTTATAAGTTTGCCAAACAAAGAAATGGGCACACCGACGCGACGTCTAAACTACGTGCTCGTCTTGGAATTATTTCCTTAACGCCCGTTCATTTACTCGAGTATACTTGCACTTTTAGAAATGGTGGATTTCCAACCACTGCTGGTTTCTTTTGATTTTAATACAATAAATAGTGTTGCTTTGACATTTTCATAAGAAATATTAAACTATAATTATTAATGTTTTATCCTAAGACTTTTTAGCAATAATAATTATAACAAAATAGTGGAGTAATTTCACAAAAAATAATTGAATATTAATTCAATAAAAATTTAATGTTAAATTACTTTAATTTACTTAATGAGACTGTCAAGATGACTTTTATTAAGGAGAGTGCGTAGGCTAAACCCCAATGCATCATTCACGTGCGAATGGTTGAAAACATTATAGTGAACCTTTGCCCAAGTGTGCACTCGCACTACTACAAGTGGCACAAATGTGGTGTCGCAACTATTTAAGGGGTTGAGTATTGAGTAGAGTTCTAGAATGCGACCCTAAGTCTATGTATCTCGTGTGTCAGAGCCCACGATACACAAGCCGTGCCCATAAAACAAATAGTTAACTAAATTAAGTACAGCCGCGTCTTACCTCGTAGTGGGATCTTGTCATAGCTGGTGGGGGGCCGGCAGAGGTGGCTGAAGCAGCAGGGTGCTCGTAGCGCTCGTCCACCTCCGGGGACTGAATAAATTCAGACATACCCACTTTACACAGGTGCACACACGCATCACAAAAACTGAGTTCAATTTTACTTTTTTCCATAAAAATACCGTTCCAATTCGAACGTGAACTGCGTCACGCTCAGTGTGAGATGTTTCGTTATAGTTTAACATGAAAACGACACGGCGCAAAGCACAAACCTGCAACGTCTCCTGGCGGGGGTGGTCGGGGGGCGCGGGGGGTTCTGGCGCGCCCTCTGAGCTGTCGCTGCCCTGTGACGTCATCCGCGGGGACACAAATCGTTAGTTGATTAATGATCATCACGTTAGTTCATGTCAACAAAACTGCAATTGGCTGACGCGCGCCGCGCGGGACTCGGGACTGGGCGAGATGCGGGCCGAGTTCGAACGTGGTAACCGGGTCTATCCTGCAACCTGCGATTCTTAACTCTGAGACGAACTCTCGCGAACCTCTAAGGATTAAAGTGACAAAGTGACATTTGATGAACGAAACATTTTTCTAATGCCCCCGCGGCGCGCGTCGCCCCCTAATGTGGTTGTAAGCAACGTATTAGTAGTAAACAGAAGCAAACAGCTTAAATAAATTAAAAATGAAATGAAAAACATTTAACATCACAAGGGCCACCACACACACACATTTTTTTAGTTACTGAAGGATGGATGGAAAAGCAATTCTCTCAACCGAAGTAGACAGATATTACAGTCGTTACGTACTTTCTTCACATTATTAGTCATATTTTTTTCAAATTAAAAAGTGTGGAGACATCCTTAATATATATAAAATGTGTAAGTGGGAAAATAACACTCATTGAAGTTTAATAAGAACAATGCATTTAATGATAAGGTGGTCACCTCGAGCCGATGAGGTCTGGAGCCGTGGCCGGCGTGTGGGGTGTGGGGGGCGTGGGGGGCATGGGGGGTGCGGTGGCTCGCCGCAAAGTGGTCGCCCTCGCGCTCGGGACTCGACTCGCTCGAGCGCCGCCGCGCGTACTCCGGCTGGAATCGGCGTCGGGTTGTGTGCATTAACCGGTGGGAGAAAGGCAAAGGCGGGGCGGTCGGAATGCCTGCGGCAGCACGTGCTTGTACACTTTACAGGCTAAGTCTCTCTCTGGTAGCCCTTCATCTTGCTAAAAGTGGCGAAACGCATGTTGAAGAAGTTTCACAATCCAGCGCGGCCGATCACGGCTTACGACCTAAACGCTCTCATCAAAGGAGACCCGTGCCCGTAAGTGATTATGTATAACGACCGCACAATCACTCTATTCACCAGCACGTGCAGGGTCTAGGAAGGAAACTTGTCTCGTCTTCCCCTTCAGAAATAACTCGTGTGAATCAACAATAACCGCAAGTTCGAAAAGGTATATTTGAGAAAATGACAAAATAGACTTAAACTAAGATAGGCACGTTTCACCAACCATCATCACCGTACACGCCAAATTGTATTCGATACACTATAATAAACTATAATATATTCAAATTTGTATTTAATTGATATTAAATTATTTTTTAGATGATTGAAGATCTTAGAAAAAAATCCGACCGGATTCGAACCGACGTCTTCCAGCAAATCGTGGCAGACACTATGCCAACTAAGCCACGGAACGACCCATCTGCTGGTTCGTTCCGCACGAATTCTTCTATGTGCTTGTTGTCGGATCTTTTGTATTTGGTTTTTAATGACTTTTGGCCGTAGCGCCATCTATGAGAAATCTATGAAAGTATTTCGTCATACTTTTATTTCCTTAATATAATCCTTTTTTTAATAAATAAAGTTAGTGCCCCAAAAATGTTACTTTAATTTCGTCTTTTTATTATTGGGGATGCGATTTAAGAGGGATAATTAACGGGGGATGATTAGAGAGAAAATTAAAAGACAAGTATCCAGTATGAAGCTTCATTCGCATCACGCGTCTTTTCATTTGGTCAAACATTGCTTATTTGGCAGTCATTGTTTCGGACGGATGTCGGACGGAGATCGAGAGTAGACCCCCAGAATAGATATTAATTTAGAAAACTGAGTGATATTCGAATCCAAGGCGTCGAGCCACCGAACTCGTCATTGGAGCTCATAACATCTCCCAAAACCACAATAATTTGCTATAATGACTTCCAGAGCACGCACGAGACGCAGTCGAGGAAGGCAACGAGATGAAGTTTAAAGGGCTGTCTCCATCGGAGCCACTGCACCGCAACACATTTCGTACGACAGCGTTGCGGGTCCGTGCGGGCCCGAACCCATACAACAAATATACATGTTTATCTCTGGCACAAAACGTCATTTATTTAGCAGCAGTAGGGTAGCATGATAAGGTGCGACTAGCGCGAGAGCGACATAAGGTGCGAGATCTCTATGCGAGAACAGCAGTATCTAAGCGACAGATTTACACTTAATCAAACAAATATATTACCTGTTGTGGGTACCCCTCGTCGTCGGAGTCGGGTATGTGCGAGCCGCGTCGCATCGCCTCTGAAACCTGCAAGTGGCAAGTGTGGTTTACGTATTATAAATTTACATACGCTGGAATGTAGAACGGCTTATTTTTAAAAGTCGGTTAATTATGGAAGTAATTCATTTTGATCAAATAAACATTTATAACAAGTAACAATAACTTATTGAGATTCGAAAAAAACTTAGGCGCGACTTGAATTGTATCCGTGTGAGGTTGACAGTTGCCAATTTTATAAGGGCAACGAGGCGCTGCGCACAGCGCGGGTGCACCGTGTGTGGTAGTCTTTAGAATAACAAAGGTTTTAACACCCACCTCCTCGGGGTGAACGGGCACATTATCGAGCTTCTCCAAATTCGGTAGATTCCTCAGCACTGTCATTCTGTACCTGTTTAAAAAAAAGGTAACTTTAAAAAATATATGGACGAATCATGAGAAGGTGATGTGCTGAAATCGTGTGTTGATGAGAGATGCGATGTCGTCGGCGCAGCGCGCGTGCACAGATTCACGTAAAGGTTAACAAGCTCATGGTTGGGAATGATTTTTTTTGTTCTAGTACTAACTCTGGGTGTTGCGTGCACGGGTTCTCGTCCAACCATAACGACGTCAAGAGTGGCAGTCTTCGAAGGTGGCGGATCTCTCGCAGGTCGTTGATTTCGTTCTTGCGCACGTACAGCTCGCGCAGGCGCCGGCACCACGCGAAGTCGTTCAAGGTCCGGATCCTGTTTATACTGAAACGGTACGACATCGTTAATAATAAAACAGGGCAATGAGTACGGCGAAGGAAAACATCGCGACGAAACTCGCACGTTCCAGAACGTTCACAAAAGTCTTCGAAGACGCTCCGCCGCCACAACCCGCACTGTGCCCACACGCCCTTCGCTTACAGGAGATCGATCGATTGCTACAGTAAACACACCAGGCTTAAAGACTGTAAATATTGACCAACGCAAAAGGCCGCGACGCGCGCATTTGCGCAACGCGAACGGCGCAGGCGACACGGTCTGTTTGTGCGCAGCCTTCGACGGACGACGCTCGCCAACCAAGGCGATAAGGCTAAGTGCTGGTAGTGGAGTATAATGTGTGAGCTCTAGTGCTTCAGTTGGCAAAACACTTCGATAGGTACGTGAATCTTCTCGAGTTTCGTTGCCAAATTAATATGCAAAAAATGCATAAATCTTAATTTTTTTTCATCAAACAAAACTTGTTTTGTCATATCATCATGAGTGTAACGTCACACACTGCTCTCCATGAACTGCTTTATACTGACAACAAATTAAGTTTACGGGGCTAAAGGGATGCGTCCACTAACTACCACACCAATGCAAGTAGATCTCACGACGCATAAGTCATGCCAACACTGCTTTGCCATTACTGTACTTTCGGAAATATTTTAATATTTTTGCAAATTTTTCCAAAAGTTCAGTGGTAAAACGTTATTAAATTATTTTATTTCAATTGTAAGCATCGTAATCTCCATTTGGCTATCTGACGTAACTCTACAATCTAAAAATAATTTAAAAAAAAAACATCTTACTCATGTTTCCGCTTAAACGTCACATATTTTTGTGTACAGATTAGATTGTAGGTTACAGGACATTTGGTTTGCAATCCCGCTGGCTGGTAAGCCCGTGGTAATTCCTGATTATTTTCTGCACTGTTCAAACAAACAGCAGCAATGGTTCAACGAAAGTGTGCGTGGATTTCTTTGTAGTAAATGCCGCGTCACACAGCCGGCAATTGGCCACCACCGCGAGCGAACACAAGGTCACTGGATGTTTTGGTGCACATCGAAGAAGATAGCGTCTACGCGTAGTGGCGTTAACTTGTGAATGCCTTGTGCACCAGAGGAGTGCTCTGGGGGCGCGGCGCCGCCAGTGGAGCGTCGCTTTCTACGACATTTTAAGGTGGTTCCAATAACTGGGAAACATGAAAGTATAATTGAATGTAATTGCCGTGCAATCAACATGTTCACACAACCGTGCGCTTCCGCGCGTGCCCGAACGACGCGACGGACACCGAGTCGAGTATGCAAATCACGCGCAAGCGTGGAACGTGTTACAAGAGCGTGCGCTGCGCTGTTTATGCGTGCGCGCGTTGTTATCAAGTTACTGTCGTAACATTTATCATTATCGTTGGTAGAGTTATACGAAGTTCGTATGCAGATTGGGCACGGCACCGCAAGCTTTCACGAAGGTTCTAGTCAAAGTCCACCAGTCCACCACACTGATTCGATCCTGGTCAGATATGTCTAAAACTAGAAATCAGCATTGTGAGATCTCCCATCTCGGGACTGAGACGGGTGAACATGATGAAACTTCAATATTTGATTACGACACTGTAGCTAACTTTTAGGGTTGTCCAACATGCTTTTGGTCGGTTTATCTTGTAATTTTTAAGATGTAAACATACTACAGTTCGGCATTAGAAAGTTTAATATATCCAAGAGTTCTTAGATTTGTCGCGATTGTTACACATTCTTTACAGTCAGCCATTACCATTGGACACTACTGCCGTGGCCATTGGACCTGTAATGTCCAATGGCGGCGGCTGACTGGGACCTGTACCGAGCCGGAGACGTTGGTATTTAACAAAAATTAAATATAAGCGATTGAAAACGGAAAACATAGTTTCATTTGAAATATTCAGGACCGTTTTAAGTTGAATTGTGGCCTCTCGTGGGACACCCGGGCGACCAATCGATGAGCCGCGCCGGGTCGCGACCTCACACACCCTGTTAACAGAATATACGCCGCACTATACAGCGGGTATACGTTGGAATTATCATTTCTCGCACGTGGGCCCTCCACGAGCGCTCGTCCCAGACAGATTTTAATACTTTTGCCTGTAAAACTTTTAGCAATGAGCGTTTGTTTTCCGGGCAAAGGCAAGTGCCATCAGTAAATAATTTGACATATACCTTTTTATTTATTTATTATTATTATATATCTCTTGCGAATAGCTTATCGCCTCCGTTACGTATTGTTTATTTTATTTTTTTTATTTTATTTTATTGGTACAGTTACAGACATCAGATACAGCATAATATAAAAATATTCTAGAATAGCACTGTAACACTGATACCCAATTACAACTATACACAGCATTCGGTAAACAAAAAAGATAATGTTACGAAGAGCGAAAATATACTTACATAGGTACATATTATATTTAACTAATAAAATATTAAACTATGTCTAACGGATCTTACAATAAAGACAAATATATAGAATAATAAGATAACAATAAAAAAAAAACTAAAACAAAAGTTAATGAAAACTAATAATTATAGTGACATATGAGTAAGTAATTTTGATTTGAAAGTTACAATATGACAATTAAATATATCGTGTTCAGCACATATTTCATTATAGCAACGACACATTCTTATAATAGGATTATTTTTTGCAACATTATTAGTAGTGAGTGGCAGTGCAAAAAGCTGTGGTATACGCATATATTTACAAGGAACTTTAATATTAATTTGTTATTAGTTTATATGTCATCTGCCATACAATATGCATATTTGTCATCTGTAACGACAGAACACGAAGACTAATGAACGTAAATAATGCATACGTTATTGCCACCATTGAAGAGATAAGAATCAATATTTGCTAAAGACGTATATTTAAAGAAAGTATTTTAGACAGGTACAGTTAAAAAAAAGAAATATTATTTATTTCAGTAACCTCATCATCAATCCATAGCAATATTACTAGTAAATTAGAGATTAAAGATGTGGCTTGATGGATTTATTCCGGAACCATGAAAGTAATATTTAAAAAATGTATCTTGAGTGCAACACAAGCGAAATGCCAAAAGGTCACTGAACTCATGGCACCGAACAACTTTCCCAATAAATCCATAACCGATTGCAAAAAGATTGTTCAGCCGTCCATTCTAATACACACACATACATCGTCTCACCATCACATTTCTTTTTCAACAAATTTATTTAGTGATGATGAAGACAAAGGTCTTTACGAGAGTGGATCAAATCGAATCGTGCACTTTCATAACCTAGGGACAGATAATCTTTGGGGCTATACTTATGAGCCACACGGTGTAAGCTTTAAATTCTAATATACCATAAATAATTAAGCATAAATTATTTAAAAAGAGCTGTGGTAGCCCATTGGAAGTGCGGTTCTAACAACAATAAACACGTCTACTATTTGATGTCGTTTTTAAACACCGAGCGGGCACTGCAGTTCTAAATGAATGTGCCGCGAGATTGCGCGAATTTGTGTGTCCGTGCCACACGACACAAGCCGCGCTGCTACGTTTTACAATAGTCTCATTATACTATGGTATTGGTTTATCAATGCGATGCGATATTGGTAGTGTTGTATTACCTGAGCGCGAGCACCTCCACGTTGGGCATCCGCCGCAGAAGACTCACGTCCACGATCTCCGCGCCCCTGAAACAGCACACCAATCTAAATCAAACATAAAGCAGTGATAGCCTTGTGGGGGCTGGTGTCCTATGTGGCAGGGCCTGGCTCGGGTGTCTTTTCGAATCACTTGAGTAAACGTTGTAGAATAATATTTGTTTTAAGTTAATATAATACTTGAATAACCACGTCCTTACATACATACAAATCGCGTTGCATACACGTATGTATTCCAGATGTTGGTAAATAAAGCGCAATAGTTCCCAAGTACGTCTCGTCGCACAAGGTCGTATTGTACATGATGATGTAGACATAACCTGTATCGACACAGGAGCTGCGCGGTAATCGATTAATAGACGATGCGCGTGCGCCACCGACGAGCTCATTGATGGCAGACACGCGACGTGGGACATGATACTGTAGTCTATTTATTACTGTTGTTTTGTCACAAATATGACAGACAGGTTTATAAAAGTGCAACGGGTATTTTTATGCCAAATGGGGGAATGGAAGACTTTTTCTAGCAACACCAGACTAGGCCGACTAGATTAATTAGGAATTATTACGTTCGGTCTGAACATTGTAATGTAATATTTAAACATTTCTCAGTCGGGAAATATCGTATTTTACATTTAGGTACTCGGCTCTGAACCTTCAACTTTGCCCAGTGCGCTCTTAGCGGCACTTACTACGAAGTAATTAGCTTCTTATAACAATCTCTTTTCTTTTTTAACAGTCTAGATTGAAAAGAAAAAAACTTCAAAATGTCCAGGCTTGGAATAATCCATAATCATATTAGCTTTTTTTTTTATACTTGTGTCCACAAAATGGGTACTCGCACCGGCCACAGCACACAATCTTACTAAATAAAAATAGCGTGGAGTCCGACTGTTGTAATGAGGCCCACGGTCGCGTCGCGTGGGTCCGCGCCCGGCCTGTTAGGTTATTTATGCAGTTCAACAGAGTTTCTTGAGTCTAGTTCTAGTCTGTTAACACAATCATCGTCGATTATTTACCTGTGTCAATATCGTGGGCATCATGCGATCATAATTAGTTATTTATTATTTGTTTATAATTTGTTTTCCTTGTCTTGTATTAGATTAAATTATATTGAAATAGATTTATCTTTATCTTAACTTTATAATCTACACGTGTAGGTAGCACAGACCCGCGGTCAACGCATTTCATTGATTAAGCGCGACAAGAGTGGTGATTGCCGCCGGCCACCGCGAGACCGCGCGGCCGCGCCTCACTGCGCCCAAGGCGGACGGCCATTCGCCCGGCGCCGACCTCACGTTCTATACGACACTGTCAGTGGTAATCGCATACAATAATGGCGACAGAAACAGGTCCGGGTACAGTGTAAACTGTAACAGTTTCCGGGCAAAGTCGACACAGAGCCACGACTCATTCCACTTTTCTTTACATTCTCCTGTATTATTCGGCACCAATTCCATTTTTATAAAATCTGTTAAAAATGTAAGAAACTGGTCTTAATTTAGTATTTTACCAAACTTTTCACCCGAAGGTTTCTTATCTAAAACATTACCTCCTTTTGGATTCGCCATAGTTTAATGATAGATTCTTAAGTTCTATTCAATGTTTAGAAATCGGTCGGTCGGCTTCAAATTTCACGTAACAAATATGATGGTTGGACAATCCACGTTAATTCTTAGCAGCAACTGGTTTTACAACTTTCTCAAATGCTTTGGCTCTCTTTAGCGTGCAATTTACAAATTTGACGGACCAAAACATTTCCACTGCCCTACTAGTACCTACACTGGCACTGGCGTCTATCGCAACTTTAGGGGATGGAAAATAGTCTAAGGTCGCAATCTTAGAGAACAGAAAAAAAGGAAGCAACCGTCAAATGTTACGTCTGTCTATGGAAACTGGGCAGACAACTAACTAGTATGGAATGTGTGTGTGTGGATACTGTTTTTATGCCTGTTGGGGTAATAATCCAGTTCGCGTCGTTACAACCTTCGGTGGAGGCTGGCAACTAGTTCCTCCAAATAATATGCTTAACCATCCGAAGAGGAAACGTTGCCGGCCTACTGCGCACGAGGTCCCAAAGCCAGGCCCTCGAACAAATGCAAGAGTTAAACATTTTCTCTATATTTTCTATATCACTATCGTCGTTATCATCCACCAATTATACGCGCCACTACTGCGCTCGGATCTCCAGTAAAAAGAGGGTTTTGGTCTCCAACATAATGAATTAGTATAAATATTACCAGCGGAATGTGTTAAATAATAGAAACCTAACCTTACCTAAACTAGGGGAAGTATCAGCTCTATAAGATTAATTGTGCTTCCGAGCCTAATGGGTAATATTGGTTTCGATAGCCCGCTGCGCTCGTCGTCGCATCTACATTTGACACCGGGATTAGTTTTATAATACATTATACAAATTATATGTTATTATATGTTTGTATAAAATGGAACATTATACCACCGGTACAATTATTAGATTGAAAGTTGTTATTTTCAAGTATGTGGAATGTCACGATGTTTGACCAGCATGATATTAGATTATTTTTTTGTAAAATAACTGCACAAGTTTGTTATAATTATTAATACAAAGATGGAACTCTTCAAAAAAATCTTTAGATCCGGCTGGATTCGAACCAACGTCTTCCAGCAAACCGTGCCAGACGCTATAACAAACTTATTGGATATCAAGGTGGTCAATTCGCGTGTGCAGGGGGTTGCAGTGTAGTATCTGAAGAGCGGTGGTGACGTCACCAGACATCGTTCAGTCTGAAGCGAGGAGAGACGGCCGCCGATCGATCGGTACACTATTTTTGACGGTTGAATTATTCATGCGACAACTACGCGTACCTATGGCTCACCATTTAAAAACTACCATTTCGCTTGGTAATAAGTACCCGGACTTATGCATGTCCAGGCAGTGCTGGTCTACTTGGGAGATACTAGTAGTAGAGCTCCTTGTGAAAGAGTTCGTCCAGAGAGGTCAAATTACAGGCACACGAGACTCGTTAGCTTACGTCTCAGTGTGGCAGGCGCAGTGTCAGACCTCAGACCTGCGCTTGAAAGCACCGAGTGGCCCTGCAACTGTTACGGGCAGGCGTGTCGCTGAACACCAGTCGCACGACATGTTCGTCCCGTCACTCGGCGTCATAAAGACCACTAACTTTCCACGCGGGATGCGAGTTCGATTCCAAACTAACCGATGTATCTTCAGTGTCAAAAATGACGCGCGTAAAAATATTACATTTTGCGCCCCAGTAATGGCGATTGCAGAGTTTTACCTAATCACTATCTATTGATTTACATTTTTTTTTCAGCCTTTCATTTTACTATTCTGTATACCTAGGCTATTCAAATCAATTTTATTAATAGTATTGAGCACCGAGACTTGCCGACTAACAGTGCCCTCACCATTCGTGGCATGACAGGCGTTCTTGGTACAAAGCGACCCAGACCCTATCGTATACAACAAAAGGATCCAAATGGAACGGCCGCTCTCGAGTGGTACGCAAGCAATTTGATAAAACGGCGAATTAATTCATGAGGCTTTTATGTTTGGCAGTGTAGCCAAAACAGCGGTGGCTATAATTATAGGCATCACAATATCGCGTCATTTTACCCTTTAGTAGGATCGTGATGGTCCATCCATAATGTTTACATTTGATTGGTTCATTGCAATAGCATCCCAAAAGATCTCTCAATGCGATACCTATAACAAAATATAATACGGTAAGTCTCAGGTAAAAACAAACTGAACAACGGGGGTCTCGGTCCGGTTCGAAGGACGATGTGTTTGCGTGTATTGGTGACGTCACGGGGTGACACACCCTACCATTGAAGGGAGCAGCGAGGGAGCGCCCGAGCCAGAGCACGCCCGGGAAAGTGGCCAGGCGGTGCCGCTCACCTCGCCGACAATTATTTCCTGCTACGCCTGAAAGGGCCCGGCTTACGCATGGTTTGCTCACACAACAGGCACGACAAGCACGGATATCGGACAGGTCGAACTAATCTAACCTAATCGATAACTGATAGTCACCGTTGGACTTTGGGTTCATTGACTCATTACATCGGTTACAACTTCCCCGTGCCCTGCAGCTCTTGTTGTTTGCGATGCAACACGCATGCGCGAGCTATGGAAGTCGAAACCACAAATTAGCATCATGTCATTGCGGACGAGGCTCACACCGGGTACAGTAGGCGACAAGTACTTTTCACGGCTCAACAGAGCGAGGTACTACGATAGATAAAAGTTATTTGTAATACGTTTGTATAACACATTTCCTTTCAATCGGAATTGACTAATCAGAAATTAAAATTCAATCAGTGTAGGTTCGTGACGTCATAGACAAACCGACAAACAGCCGGGACGCTTTCTACACACGTCGCTGCTTTTTGTTAGTAAACATTCATATGCGATGGACGTGTCTGTGATACTACAGGAATAATATCATTCGTTTGCATTGTAACAATGCATATGTGCGTGTCCCACCGCTGGGCATCGGTCCTTTGGCAAAGAGCGTATTGTCACAGCCGTAAACACCTATATTTATTATTTTGTCTTTTTTAAATTCAATTACCGAAAAGTATTTGGTTTCTTAAATGACTTATTCGTTTGATGTTTTCTGCTAAAGGTGTTTGTTTGCAGCCACGACGACCAGTTCAAGCGTGGTCGGACACGGAGCTAATCCAAGGAGAGAGTTTAGGCTTCGACCCTACGTCTACCGTAAGCCACAAGAATAGATGCATTTTTCATAAATCACTTTAGTTTTATGCAGCTCTATTATATTCAACAGTAAAATTATAAACATGACAAATAATGACGCAGACACTTTACTCATTTTAGTTTTTCAATACCTAGGTACATTAAAACATTCTCCTGGAAAGTTGTGAACTTGGCCTTACGTCGGACGGATCGGTACATAATGGAGTTGGGGACTTCGCTTGTTTTTCAAGGATTAGACGATCTAACGTTTGGTAGAGATTGCTGGTAGTACGTAACTTAGATATTAAAGTCATATTTTCGAAATTTTTTA